GCAAAGACCTCTTTTCACACGGAGAAGGTTTGAGCATTAACCACCACGCTTGCTCAATGCGGGTTGGCGATTTCAAACTTATAATTAGAAATTATAAGTCCAGGTTTCCTCACGATGTTTACCTTCACCGTATGTCAGTGGGGTCTAAATAATCATAGAAAGTACATATAACTCGGAAAAAGTCACATCGGTACTTGCAAGGTTTCGAACCCACACCCTCATGCATGAGAAGCGGGCTGCTTAACCTCTGGGCCCCCACGACACAGCAGATGTCCATGGGCGGCGCTGATTGCTTACCATCAGGTAATCCGTCTGCTCGTTAACCGATTACATAAAAAAATGGCGTGGGTACCTGAGGATGCGAGAGCGCGGCGCCCATGTCGGCTCGGCGCTCACGCAGACAGCACAGCAGCCGGCTCATGGGGAGCCCACCACCGCCATCACCGCGCTATCCCCGCGCCACTCCCAGCTGCGACAAACACAAATATACATCATCAGCTTATTTATACAAAGAAATGTACAGGCGGACTTAATGTCTTAGGCATTGTCTTACAGTCGACTTCAGGTGGTGGAGAGATGAGAGAAGCAGGTGACAAAAATATATCTATCTTCTTTCTTATATATAAAAATGGACCGCAAAATGTGTTGGTAAGCGCATAACTCAACAACAACTGGACCAATTTTGTTAATTCTTTTTTGTTGTGTTTGTTATAATCAGGAGAAGGTTCTTATCAAAGAAAATATTAGTAAAGTAGAGCGGGGAATTGGGAAAAACTGACCCTTTTGTTGTTAGGATAGTAAGACCCGTGCGAAGCGGGGGCGGCCAGCTAGTATAACAAAATTTTCTGACTATATGATAGATACATTACTTAGATATTCATTAGATATACAGGGTTACTGTTACCTACTCCCTGCAGGACATCGTAGTAAGGCAAAAATGGAATAAATAAAATGTGGGAGAGCCATGCTTCGCCACGAATGGGTCGGCTCGACCGGAGTGATACCACGGCCTCACAGAAAACCGGCGTGAAACAACCACAACGTTGTGTTTCGCCGTGTTAGTGAGGTTACCGGAGGCCCAACCCCAATCCCTAAATCCCCAAATCCCAATCCTTAAAAGTTCGTTTGCTGTAGGACGGCAAACCAACTTTCACACAATTCACATAAAAAAAAAACAAATGCTCACTGCTGAGCAAAGGCCTCTTCTCACGACTTATAATTACAAATTATAAGACCAGGTTCCTTAACGATGTTTCCTTCACCGAACCAATGTCAGTGGAGTCTAAATAATCGTCAAAAGTTTACTAAAAAATCGCGGGTTACTGACGTGTGTAATTAAAAAAGCTCTACTAGTTTCGAACCACAGAGGGGTTCCTCCTCATGAGCAGCGCGCGCGGACGCGGCGACGTCGCGCAGCGATTTTTAGTTAATTTAGTATGTCTCACGATAGTTATTATAAAATTTTTTCGTAAAAGCAACACTAAAGTAATGGTATACAACAGTCTCGTACGAAGTATTCTGGAGTATTGCAGTGTTGTGTGGAGGCCTCACTATGCCACTCATATGCTGCGGTTAGAAAGAGTACAGAAGCGTTTTGTGTGGCACCTAGCTTTCTGCGAAATGAGATCTAAGCAGCTGCCCTCATACAACACCCGCTTGCACCATTTCAAAATGCATTAATTATCCACACGAAGAGACGTTGCCGACGCAATTTTCTTATTCAAAATAATAAGAAATCGAATTGATAGCGCTAAATTACTGAGCCTTATTAGATTCCATGCTCCATCTAGATACCCTAGAAACATCATCACACCACTATGCCCACCACTACGAAGAACTGTACTTGGCACAAACTCTCCTATACCTAGGCTATGTAAACTATTCAATAGCTGTAGTGACTTAATGGATATAAACCAGGATAATATTAATAAAATCATAAAAGTAATTGTCAGTCATTCAGCCACAAAAGAATAATTTTTTGTAATATATTATTATATAATTATAATATAATTATTGTATCAACTAATTTAATCGACTTAGCCTAATTAATTCAATTTAAAACTAATATTTTTTATTTGAATATAATGTGTATTTATTTTAATCGTATCAGCATTCATCTTAATTTTTGTAGTAATTTAAAATAATGTCAAAATGTTATTATTATTATTTTTTATTCCAATGTTATATAACTAACCTATTCTTAAGACCTAAATATTTTATTAATGACCCAAATATTTGTCATAATTTATTATTTACGTTTAATTTAGTCATTATAATTTTAATTAAAGCCGTTTAATGTGCATGCGGTGTTAGCCTTTAAGTGATTGTTACGCTCGCAAATGTATTTTTCGTTTATATCTACAATGTTCTTTTAGTGTAAACAATTGTTGGCTAGCCTATAATAAATAAATAAATAAAAACAATCGTAGAAAGTACATATAACGAAAACCTCTGCTTTTCATCCTCATGCATGAGAAGAAGGCGTTTATAAACTCCGGGCCACCACGACGACATAATATACAAATATATTTTTTTAATTGAGAAGGGAAAATATCAAATTACCTCTCTCGCCCAGGACGGAGGAAGGCGGGAGTATCTGACTCTTACTGACTAAACCCCCCCCCCCCCCGTTCCTTCTCCTGCTCTAGGCAGAGGCCGCGGTACTTCATTGCGCTTACCCCGCAACCCCGGCTGAACATCAGCCTTATTGGGTCCCATCTTACCATCAAATGATTTTTTTTGGAACTTAAACTACTTAAACTAACTAAAAAATGTACACAGCAATATTATAAGTTAAGAAGATAGCTGCAGTAGTTAGAAACTGTGGCGTAACTATCAAAGCTCATCTCAACTAACCAAAATGGAATAGCTCCATATTAATAATTAAGTTACTTAAGATTATCAGCATAAATCAATCACAAAACCAAGAAAACGCAATTTTTTGATAAAATTGTACACACAAAGTCCCAGTACAATCGTACCTAATTAACAATCGACAATACATATCCGGAATCCGGAGTAACTGAAAATGTCAACAGCCGATATTTTCGCACACAACGAGACAGATGTTCAAAGTTGGTATAACTAAACGCAGACAGGAAAACAATATTGTTTTATCTTTATCACTATGTAAACAGTATTTACGACAGACTTCATACTCAGATTTGTAGAGACGCACCGGTTTCGCACGGGTGTAATGCTGATACTAAATGTCTCCACTATTTAACGGATGCCATTATACATATAAACCTTCCTCTTCAATCACTCTATCTATTGAAAACCGCATCAAAATCCGTTGCGTAGTTTTAAAGATTTAAGCGTACATAGGGATATAGGGACAGAGAAAGCGACTTTGTTTTATACTATGTAGTGATATCCAGTCAAATGATGTTAGCGTGGACTGTCCAGGCGATAAGTACTAATTATCATCAGTTTCACTGCTGAGCAAAGGCCTCTTCTACACGGAGATGTGAATCTTTGAGAAATAATGGGTCCAGGTTTCGTGACGATGCCAGGGTAGCGGGTCAACTGTAATAATGAACCGCGGCCTCGACTGGAGCATGGAGCAAAGAATCTTTATGTGACACTGATTTAAAAACAGTAACCATGGAGTTTCTTGCTCGTTCTTCTCCATCGGAATCTACACTTTGGAACGAGCAAATTGCTTCACTAGAGGACCGACCGACAGACTGACACTTTGTATCTTTAAAGTTGTGTTGACGTTCAAATCAAAAGTGCCTGTATGGGTCTAATTGAAATAAATGATTTTGACTTTGACTTTGAGCATGGGAAGGATCGGGTGATTTTAAGTCAGTAATAAGAATCTGACATTCCACAAGGCGAGAGAAGTAAATTGATGATTATTAGCCCTCAAAAAAAAAGTTGACTCATATGTACTTTCTATGATTATATAGAGACCACTGACATACGGTGAAGGTAAACATCGTAAGGAAACCTGGACTTGTAATTTCTAATTACAAGTTTGAAATCACCAATCCGCCATGAGCAAGCGTGGTGGTTAATGCTCAAACCTTCTCCGTAGGAGAAGAGGCCTTTGCACAGCAGTGGGCACTTATAGGCTGATGATGATGATGATGATGATGAATGACTTGTCATGACTCTCTTGTCCTTGAGCCGAGAAAAATATTATTGTAGCTTTATGATTTTCAAAATATTGACTTACATCTTAAGAGATTAATTTTACGCTTTCTGTTGTAATGTCAATGAGATAAAAACTAGTAAACACAAAAGCGGGGATACAGTATTCGGTGTTAGTTACACGGAAGCAGGAATTACTCAAATCCTACTTTGATAGAATCCTGATTGTAAACAATCAGCGCCGCTAAGGAGTTACGCGGTGACTGGGCAACTGGCTGCCGCGCAACGTGTCGCGGGTTAGATTCCCGCACGGAACAACTCTTTGTGTGATCCACAAATCGTTGTTCCGGGTCTGTGTGTGATGTGTATGTGGAATTGTATGTTTGTAAACGTACTCATGACAAAGGAGAAAATCCTAATGTGGGGCAACGTTTAAAAAAAAAGTGCGTTGACGACCATTTGGAGATTAGTGATTTGGAGATATGAACCATTTGGAGATTAGAGATTTGGGATTATGTGAGGGGAAGGTTTGGGCCTCCGGCAACCTTAATTACATGACGCTGTGGTTGTGCTGTGAAGCCGTGTTATCTACTCCGGTCGAGTGGGCCCATTCGTGTCGAAGCTTGGCTCTCCCACAGATAAAGTTACTCAAATCCCATTTTATGGGATAGTAGAGCTAAACGAGCAGACGGATCACCTGATGGTAAGCGATTAGCGCGTTAGATAAGAAAATTTAAACGCGTATCAGGATTACACTTCATTAAGCATTAGACTGCCGACAATAACTGTTGAAGGCTAAGCCTCCGCTAGTGTCGGACACCATTGTCCGACATGGCGTTCTAAGTGTTAAGTATATGAAATTTGTGGAATGTTTACATGGGTTTAGGCAACAGGAAAGGAAAATGGTAGTGGAAACAAGTATAGGAGTTACACTTAGGACCCATTACAATAGTCAATTTTCCGTGGTGTTTGGTGACTGGGCTTCTCCCAGTTGTACAGTCTCTTCTGTGCCTTTAAGGCTCAAGTCATTCTGTCTCCTGCATTAAATTCATCGAGAGAAGTGGAAACTATTTCGTTAATTTTCTTCTCCTCAAATAATATCTTCTGATTTATTTCGTTGCGGAATCCAAGACAGTCATTCATGTCCCTGGGACGCGGCGGACTTCAGTGTTTCGGTGTTTTCATGGTTGTAACTTCTGCAGATCCTGGTGCACAGCGTTTGTAGAAGGTTATGAAGGCTTGTTTCGAAAAAAAAGTGACCAGTGCCGCCATAAGATACATCCGTAACACCACAGGAATTAGCAGCGCATTGTCAACCTTTTCTGCGGTCCAGAACCAGACCCGAGCGTACGGCGCGTAGCGTTCCGCGCGCCTCAAAGAGCTAATAGACCACCACTGACGGGGCCCTATAGGGCTGATGTTCAGCCGGGGTTGAGGGGTAAGCGCAATGAGGCACCGCGACCTCGGCCCAGAGCAGGAGAAGGAGCAGGGGGGTTTTTAGTCAGTAAGTGTCTGACATTCCCTCCCGCCCGGCCCTGGGCGGGAGAAGAAATTTGATGATTTTCCCCTCACAAAAAAAAAATGTACACCTTTTGAGGTAGGCAACACTTGGAATCTCTCACACAACGCTATAATAACGTGACGCCGATGTCTATAAAGCCGTGGTATCACTCCTTAGGTAGTCATAATATGACATTACTATCGACCTTGACCAGTATTGATACAAAACTATAATATAATTGCTCATTAATTAAAGGTCTATTTGGGGAATTTTATGGACTGCCTTAGTTAGGTCTGACACGCCTTGTCTTCTATGAATAGTAGCTATACGTTTATATAACAATTTTTATATTTAACTTGCCATGTATGTATGTTAATAAAGTGTAATCTCTCAACAATATTTCGAAGCAGATATCTTCAACACATTTTTTTTTTTGTATAGGTCGGCAAACTAGCAGACGGATTACCTGATGGTAAGCAATCGGCGCCGCCCATGGACAACCGCAACACTAAAGATGTTACAAGTGCGTTGCCGACCTTTTAGGGATAAGGGTTCAGTTATTTAAGGATTGGGAAGGGATAGAGGAAGGGGAGGGATTGGGCCTCGGTAACCTCACTCACACGGCGAAACACAACGCTGTGGGTGTTTCACGCCGGTATTCTGTGAGGCCTTGGTATCAGTCCGGTCGAGCCGACCCATTCGTGCCGAAGCATGGCTCTCCCACACTTAAAATTAAGCTGTAATTCTGTATACACGTTCAATTTGCATGACCGTAAATGCTGAGCTGTATGACGTCACTCTAAATATATAAACAATGTCTCTCAAATGTACTGCGACTTATCGACACACCTGATAAAAGTTTGTTTTTAATTTAATTTTAAACCTTACTACACACTGTATCGAGGTAATGTTTACAAAAAACTTTCACATACACATCACACCCAGATCTGGTACAACAATTTGTTGATGTTTTAGAGGTATGGTGATGAATCATCACTGATGATCACGTCGGGGTCACCAGTTTAGAGATTTGAGAAACAGGGTGGAAAGTTCCTCATCCTCTATTGAAAAGGGAGGATCCTCCGACCAGGCGAGGTGTTCGTGCCTGGTGGGCTACTGCCCGACAGTTGTTGTCGGGAAGTGCCCGATTGCTTACCATCAGGTAATCCGTATGCTCGTTTACCGCCATATCACAGAAAAAAATGGATAAAGGCGTAATGTGGCCTACCTAGATGAAGAGTGTAGTAATTAAGTTCGATACTTCGTTAATGTATAAGTGTACCTGATAGACCACGAATGCAAAGAGAAATGTCGCAACACTCAGAGACAAACAAAAAGGTCAAATGCTATTACACCATTTAACGTGTACACAATTGTTGCTAAAATTTACTTCATCAGTCAAGAGGTTCGGGACTGCCCGACTCGAACCAGTGTTCCGCGCGCGCCTCAAAGAGCCAATAGACCACCACAGACGGGGCCCTATAGGGCTGATGTTCAGCCGGGGTTGCGGGGTAAGCGCAATGAGGCACCGCGACCTCGGCCTAGAGCAGGAGAAGGAACGGGATGGGGGGAGGGGAAGGATTGGGCCTCCAATAACGTCACATAAACACAACGCTGTGGTTGTTTCACGCCGGTTTTCTGTGAGTCCGTTGTATCACTCCGGTCGAGCCGATCCATTCGTGCCGAAGCATGGCTCTCCCACACTTAATCACTCCGGTCGAGCCGATCCATTCGTGCCGAAGCATGGCTCTTCCACACTTACGTACTAGATCGAGCTTGCACTCACAACTGGACCCTTTGTTTGCCAGTCACATTCGTCACTACTATACCAAGAAGGCCTTAATACTTTTACAATATGCTTGTTTACATACTAATGTCAGAAAACTCCTTACTTACTATCGTTCCAATTTAGACATGTTATCAGCAATCGCATTTTACAACAAGTCTGTTTGTTATTGTGTAGTGTAGGTGGAGGTAAATGAATCATATACAAATATTATGTTACTTTTTACAGTTATTTCGACACTTTCAGCTGTAAATACCGTGATACAATGCATCAACAACATCAATGTCTAGTGTACCCACATCCACTTTTGAACTATGGACTTTATATTGGGTGGCAAACCAGTGATAATTGACAAAATTACCTGATGGTAATCAATCAACGCCGTTCATATAACTAAAACAAAAGGTGAGCGGAGGGGCAATTGATGTCTTATCGTTCTTGAATTGACATTTATTTTTATATACCTTATTTTTGCATTAAAATTTTATAAAATTATGTCTTTAATAAAATAAAAACTTGTCTTTCCTGTTTATACATATTATTATGTTCAATTATTAAATTTTAACTTTTTTATGTCTGTGACATAGAAAACATTAGAATTTTTGAGTGAATTTTTACATAAATGAAATGATTTTTTCAAAATCAATTTATTGTATTTGACTATGAATTTTGTAGGAGATGTAAGAGATAGATGTTTTTTTTTTTTTTTGTCAAGTACCTGTGTATTTATTATCCTTATTTCTCATAATAAAGCTGTCAAAATTCAGAAAAATAAGTTCAAAATGATGATCTATCATTGAGACTATAATTATTTTCAGACACTTTTAACACATTAATAGGTTGAAGTAAATATTTTTAACAATCATCTATACTAGTATCATAAAGCTGAATAATAATATTGTTTGTTATTTTGATAGTGCTATACTAACCTTTTCAACTAATTGTATGAATAAAAAGAAATTGTGTTAGATACTCCATTCATTAAAAAAGGTTATTAGCTATAAAACACTACACTATGACCAATAGCTACTGACAGGTAGGTAAAACAGTGTGAGTGGAGCTTGTCTATTACAAACATTTTAGAGAATTTATTTAAAACATTCAATACACAAATGACTACTTTCAAGCATATCAGAACCTAGACAACATTGACAAAACATAAATTATAATAATTGAGACTTAATTCTCTATTATAAAATTATAAAGCTGGAGTGTTTGTTTGTTTGAATGTGCTATTTTCCAGAAGTGCTGGTTCAAATAGAATAATTCTTTTTGTGTTTGGTAATCCATTTATTGAGGAAAGCTTTAGGCTATAAAACATCCTGCTACGGCTTGTAGGAGCCAAGCACCGAGGGAAATCGTGTGTTGGAAGCTGGTTATGTATAACAAGGATATTATTTATAAAAGTGGAACATCTGACAAAGCCTGGTCCACTTTAGTTGTTGTTATCATAATAACAGAACAGTTTTCTTATCAGATTGTAGTACAATAAAGATAATTTTAATGTATGTCTGAAACATATATACATACATGAACTGCTGCCTCTCTCCAATAGTATACAAAAACTACACAATGATTCTCATTATGCTACTTAAATACTTCTTTAGCGAAAAACAATGTTAGCTTGAATATCCAATTAGAAATATTACATTTCTATAACTTAGTTTAGTAATTGTATTTATCTAGATTAATAAAATATAAATAGAATTCTTGTCTATTTATATGATGTAGATATTTTTAGGGCATTCATGTTTACAAAAGAGGTTTTAAATGGGACTGAAAAATGTATAGTTAAATCTCCTAGAGGGGTAGTGTAGGGCAATGTATGATAACTAGACATACATTAAGCTATAAATATACTTACAGACAAAACAATAAAATGTTCACAATAAACTTTTTGGGCCCATTAACTAATGCACTAAGAATATCGACCATAAACAAACACAGACTAAAAATACCTGACACAGGGATCCTATTGAGCCTCTTTGCTTGCATGACCTAGCTTCTATATATTTTATATTTTCGTGTACATAGAAAGTGAAATGTGCTCGGGGGTGGTAAAGGGAGGCCTGACGTCACTGCGCGCGCATATGACCCCAAACTGACTGACCTAGATTTGGACTCGCCTTGCGACACGATTCTGTAAAATGTCAACACAGCTCGCCCTCAGTGAAATACCGCAGATATTGACTAACATGAGCCATATACGACCTACATATAGCCTCCAAGACGATGCAATCACAATAAAAAACATATCCATGACCCATTTCTTTTGATTTCAGGACGTAACTTTGTTCTCGACAAAATACGCAATAATCAATATGTTTCCACTTATATGTTATGAATAAAAATATATACACAATGTACTAACCAGCAACTAAACACATCACAGCAGCTTCTTCAGATTATTTCACGTTTTCACACAAACATTTTGATTTTACTCTGTCCTGGACGCCATTAGACAACACACGACGAACAACTTGTTAGGCACAATTTCTCAGCTTACGCACCGTCCATCGCGGTGTAGGACGCTACAGAAACACTTATCACTATCGACTTATAATTATTTTACACAAATAAGTCACGGATCAAGCTCGTCGTGTGTGAAAATTGTTAAAACGGGATCGGGCGCAATCCGCTACGCCACCCCGTTCTACTGCAATTTTGTCACTGTTGCCAACTGACAGGAACATAAATAAATACATCACATACCAACTGTATTTTACGCAATCCTATTGGCTAATACGATTTCAACATTTCTGATTGGTCTTATATCTGACATATTTAACTTTTTGTCCAATCACGCGTATTCGTGAAGGAAATCTCTCCTCTTTCACTAGGAGAATTGCATTGCATTACCAAAATGTATGAAGGATGTATGAAGTGAGCAAGCTTGAGTTACTGAACCTGAAGTAGTTGTTTTACGTTCGGATATGCGAATCGTGTTCTATATAAAAAAATAATATTGTTTTTCCTCTAGTTCACTGCTATCGTAACTCCTAGCCCGCGTACTCCGTATCGACTGTGCTGGTAAAAGTTACAAACACCATCGGCACAATGGGCAAGAGACAGAATCACAAAGCAGCAAGCGAGAAGGAGTAAAAATTGCTAACATTCGTCTCCTAAGTGAGTTTGGGAACGGCAAACTTGGGGAAATCGTCGTTTAACAGGATCTGAAAAATAACTAGCGCTGGCGCTACATCTACGTGCTTTTCCGCGGACACTTCATTCTGTGCACCTTGAGGCGGGGTTTGCATGCTGAGCCACCAAAAGGAAAAGAAAGCAGTTTTTTTCTAGGATATATGTTCAAAACGAATTATCATGATCAATAATTTTGTTAACGATCCCAAGAATAAGGAAATAGTCGACATTCATTTCAAAAGATTTCTTCTTTCATCATCAATTCTAGAAATAATATTTCAAAACTTTACTCCAGTTCTCCTAACTATCTCTAGATACCTACGAAATTTATGGCATAAAAACATAAACGTATTGGAACCGAAGTATGGATGTTAAAGAAAGCGGTTCTTGACAATGTCGTGTCGTCATTTTGACCATGTATCCGAACGTCTCCAACAAGTATATTATTATTACAACTGACAGGTATGTTTTTAACGAGATCGATTGATTTTTTTCATTGCAGCGGCTGCATTTTGAATCAATAAAAAGTGTTAAAATCATCATCGTATAAATAAATCGTGAAGTGACTGTACTTTGTGGAATACAACTTTATTATAAACAAACATTTGGTGACTCAAAACAGTGTTTGAAGAACAACAAGTGATCAAAAGCTAGTAACGAGGTGGTTTTTAAACTTTTGAAAGCTCTAGTAAGTGCTTAGTACTAAATTTTCGATGTTTGTGCCTTATTTTTTTTTAATTTGCCTTTATTGTCTGTGTGGCTCGAAATTTCTTCGGCACAATTTACCCGCCTTTTTTTATCACCATTATCAAACAGCTGATAAGTTTGCAAAGATTGACAGCGATATATTTGAAATATTAAACTAATGACTAGGCGGTATGGTCTCGGACCTTAGCCTGTTCCCAAGGAACAAATAATATTAAAAAAAAAAAAAAAATATTTGAAATATTTAAATATGTTCATGGAAATACGTTAAAAAAGCACAACTTTCATAATAAACGTCAATAAACTGCTATATTTTGCAAAAAAAAAATCGGTCTTAGAGCCAGCTTTTAGTCATAACCCATGATAATAACAATATGTTCAGAGATTATATTTTTTTTGTGTTGTACTTGTCCCAACTTGTTCCTTGGACAGTCAACACATTTTGAAAGTTTGTGAAATAGTTTTTTACATATATTCAGATTTACTCAATAAACTATATTCATAAACAACATTTTATTTTTACTGTATTATCAAGTTCTAACTTTATTTTGGAAATAAGTAGAAGTAGGTACATTAATATAATTATCATCCTACTCTTGGCCCTTCTTGTATTGATCCGGCCCTAACCGGCTACCCACTGACCAGAAGTCTAATTATGAATTCTTAGTTTATAAGTATCTAAACATGTTAGTACATAATATTTTTTTTTCTCTTATTTTACTCTTCTGAAACACTATGTCCTTACTTCATACTATCTGCTTCTTTTTTCTTCTCCATCCAATGGTTGACTGTAGAGGATGCCTCAAGACAATCTTAGGACCACTGTTCAGACTGTTTTGTGTGAAGGAATAATAATATTATCAGCATCTGCCTATAAGCAAAGGCCTCTTCTTACTCGGAGAAGGTTTGTCCATTAATTACTTTGCTTGCTCAAGATGTATTAGTGATTTCAAACTTATAATTAGGAATTATAAGTCCAGTTTTCCTCACGATACCAGAGCATACGGCGCGGTGCTTTCCGCGCGCGTCTCAAAGAGCCAATAGACCACCACAGACGGGGCCCTATAGGCCTGATGTTTAGCCGGGGTTGCGGGGTAAGCGCAATGAGTCACTGCGGCCACTGCCCAGACTAAGAGTCTGACACTCTCTCTCGCCTTACTCTGGGCGTGAGAAGTGATTTGATAATTTTCTCCTGACAAAAAAAAAGGTTTCCTCACGATTTTTTCCATCAGCCTACTTTAAAAATATCTCGAATTGGAACAGCTGCTTAAGTTAGTATGTATGGCGAATAAGCTTTCTTCTTATTATGGTTATGCTTAAATTAAAACAAGTAAGTATATATTAAATTGAGAGGTGTGCCAAGAGGCTAATCAACAACGAAGCGTTAGTGGAGTCCCAACTTCAAAGCCTCGAACACAGGCACAAAGTTGTAAGCCTATCGGTTTTTTATTCGAAGAGTGTTGTGTGAGCTACATAACTTGATTTCCCCTAGTCCTTTCCACCATCGATCCACCAGACAATCGGCAAAACATCGTTGCTTTTATAGATATTCCACCTTTTTTTGTCAGGGAAAATCATCAAATGACTTCTTTGTAAACCCCATGTTCCTTCTTCTGCTCTTGGCCCAGGCCGCGGTGACCTATTGCGCTCAACCCTCAACATAGATATTCCACCTACACCCATGATGCGCTTTGCCTCCAGTTTTATAACCCAAACTACTAAGGATTGGAATTCTTTGCTAGAGTCTGTGTTCCCCGAAGGGTATGTTCAAGGCCCGAGTGAATAGGTTGCTTATGGGTAGTCGTGCTCCATCGTACGTCGCATCATCGCTTAGCACCAGTACATATTTATTATAACTAGAAAAAAGGAGAGAGAGAGAGATAACTAATAATTGGATGTCTGATTTTTGCAGTAAGACATTGAACCTCATATTAATGATTTTATGTAAAGAACATTTTAATTATTATAGAAAAATAAATTTATAGCAAACTAGCTTTTCTCTCGCTCGCGCTTCACTCCCATCATTTGATTAACTACACTACCTTATCAACTTACTGTACCTTACCCTATGTTCTTCACCAGGTTCTAAACTACATCCCCACCATTTCTCAACGAAATCGGTTCAGCCGTTCTTGAGTTATAAATAGTGTAACTAACACGACTTTCTTTTTTATATATAGATATAAATCTATTTTATTTGTAGTATTTTTATGTATATTAGAATCATATGTATAATATTACGTACACTTAATTTCCTTACAGATGCCCCGACAATGAGTAGTCCCCCGATAGAGGATACTGGCCCCCCCAGTCCGGAGCCAGTTACCCGACCCCCAAGCCAACCATCCGATAGTCCCTGGCCACTATATGAAGACGATGAAGATGCAGCATTCGTACCACAAAACAATGCAAGAGATTTCAATGCCATAATTACAAGAGCTCGTCACAATGTACAACACACTGTAGAGCCGAGTGAGGATAGCAACACAGCTTCCTCAGTCAGCGAGGAGTCCAACCACTCCTTACCAGCTATAGCATGGAACAACAATGATCAAGTTGAACCAGAGGAACCGCCAGCTAAAGTAAGGAAAGTACACAGTCCACAAGAAGAAATTGATGGGGAAACTTGTCCCATCTGCTTAGACATATGGGGTAACTCCGGTGCACACAGACTAGTTGCTTTGAAATGTGGACATTTGTTTGGTTCCGAGTGTGTAGAAAGATGGCTCAAGGCACAGCCTGCGAAAGACAAAACCTGTCCAACGTGCAAAAGTAAAGCGTCGCTCAAAGATCTAAGGTTCATTTACGCAAGGAAGCTCATAGCCGCCGACACTACGGAGATCACTAGCTTGCAGAAACAAGTAGAGATACTCCAGACAGAGAAGAACAGGACAGAATTAGAACTACAGAAGACGAAAATAGCTCATCGCGCTTGTGCAGCGGAACTGGAGACTTTAAAGAACTCATTGTTAAAATCTCAGACGATGAAGGAACTTATCAGTAAGCGCACTTGGCGATATGCTTTGGAGAAGAATTTGGAGGTATGCAAGGACGGTGGCTGTAGAGTTCTTACGTATAACTGTCGGACTTACGAGCTGTACGTGTCACAGAAGAGTGTCAACTACCTCTTCCCTGGATATGGGATTAGAAAAGTCAACTGTATAGACTATTCTTTAGGCCAATTCGTGCATTTGCATCCGAAACCTATCAGAGATATGGCGTATTCTCAGCCTAGGGACTTACTTCTAAGTGTAGGGTTAGATAGTACCGCGCGGATTGTTGACAGAGGTATTCTTAGTGCGACAGTGAACACAGGCTTCCCATTGTGGTCGTGTGCTTGGGACTGTTCTAACACTAGCGAGTTTTACGTGGGAGGTGTGGGCGGGATCGTGAATGTATACGATTTCAGAAACCTGTCTGCCTGTCTCGGTACCATCGCCTGCAATAGAGACATGTCTCCCGTAGTTTCTCTGTGCTCCACTCCCTACGGCTTATTGTCCTGCCAACTGAACAAGTGCTGGCTCTGTGTACCACAAGACGGTATTTGGAAGCAGAAACCGATGCCCGTGGAAGGGTCTTTCATGTCTATGAGTTATGATAGCGAAACTCAAAGGGCTTTAGTATCGGTCCGACCTAGTGCATCAGGGTCTGAGCGATCTAAGCTAGTAGTTTGCAAATTTTCCGAAGGTCTAACTGATAAGGTCATGATAGATGTAGAGGAGACGTTTAGTGGATCTGCAAGAGCGTCTCTGATGTCGAGGTCGACTTTCTGCAAAGCCCCAGGAGCTTCATGGGTGGCGGCCCATTCTGAGAGCGATTCTGCACTGTTTTTGCATGGGCTGGACGGAGCGAGGACCATGTCACTGCCAGCTGCGGAACCAGCACTAGACGTATGCTCATTATACCTGAATGGAAACAGCATTCTAGCAGCTTTATCAGAATCTAGGTTAAGAATGTATAGAGCTGTCCAGACCAGTGTTTAAAAGACTGATCAGTGAATCTTGGACCTTTTTAAAGTGCGTGATCTTTGTGTATCTATATTGGAAGACGCTGGTCGTATTGATGGAGTTTGAGATACCATTGCAGTTTTATTACGATGTTTATTTTTTTGTTAAGAAACCTGTTTTGTAAATATTAATGATAAATTTTGCCTCTGTGGTTTACTCACGTAACTGTTCCTTGAACTTATTCGGCGAAGTCAAGCCATTAATCTAATCCTACTCAATGTGAGTTCTCTTCAGTCTGAGTTGGCACTGTCGCATGTTGACACTGTCGCATGTTGGATCATGATTAATAACCCCGGTGTGTCTTGAAAATACTCGAGCAACTTTCGTAAAGTTACGTGTGTAAACCGCATAACTTTATTAATTTTACATTTATAATAGAAAATACTGTGATTTTTTTATTCGCTTCAAGCTTCAAGAACATTAGTTTTAAAATCTTATGAATTGAGTATTTGCATTTATAGGAATGTTGTCTGAAATTTTATATGTAGGTGACTAGATATAAATCGAATTGCATTTATGCGGTTCTTTCTTGTGAAATCTATGATTTCGATCTGACTTGTGACTGGTTTTTATTCATTGTATGATTGTAACTAAGGAATTAAAGAAATCAAAATGAGTGTAACATATATTTGTACCCCCGGCGGCACATAAAGCTATACAAAACCATTATATCTTAGTCTCGCTTTGACAGACCTTGTCTCACGGACAACGGTCATCAAATACTAATTTTTTCTTAGTTTGTTAGTCTATACTGGCTAAGTCTAGAACTTGTCAATATGATTTATCCATTCTGATTGACTCAACTCGTAATGACAGACAAAAAATTTTCGAGATCCCTGACTGATTGATTCAGCACATATGACTTTGGCTGGAAGACGTCCACTGCTGGACAAAGGCCTCCCCCTTAGTTCTTCACGCCAAAGGACAAGTCGCCACTAGCATCTATTGGCTCTCCGCGACTCTGACGAGGTCGTCGGTCCACCTAGCAGGAGGTCTACCCATGCTACGTCTTCCGAAACGTTGTCTCCACTCCAGCACTATGCCGTCTGTCCTTCGAGCGACGTGGTCTGGCCATTGCCACTTCAGCTAGCAGATTTAAAGAGCTATGTCGGTGACTCTGGTTTTTTGGCAAATTTCCATAGGAAGGAACCACATATGACTTTATAGTGAATATGAAAATTAATTGACCAGTTTCTTAATCCCACTTCTTAAAACACTAAATAAATTATTAAATTAGAACCAGTAGTTTCGGAGATTATAACGTTCAAAGATACAAAGTCTTCTACTTTTTAACATTAAGAATGAAGGTGGGACTAATTTCTGTATGTATTTGTATGGTTTTATAAGATAAAATAATTCCTTTTTGACTGTGGAAACTACTCAATAGGTACAGAATCTTTTGAAGTTATCTCATTATACCATATTTGGCGAATTATTTTGTTTGTGTATTATTTTATTTCCTATGATATTTGTGCGGCCTCGCCATGTTTTGGCACTGTTCTGTCGGCTCGACCTAAATCACGGCCTCACAGTACACCGGCGTGAAGCAACGCTTGGTTTTATATTTTGCCGTATTATTCGAAGCCCCCTGTGATATTGTAAAAATGCATGGATGGCATTGTTAATTCACCACAGTATCACATCAAAATATGAGTGACTAATGATAACATAGATAAATTTGTACACGTAGGTAGGTATGGGATTAAATTAATGGAGAAATATTGTAATTAATTCCTATTTCAATTTCTATAGTTTGCATTTTCTGCTAATAATAATTAGCTAAATATTTTTCGGCTGTATTACAAAGTTAGACATAATATATTCTACTTACCAGGGATGTTACGGAGCTCCGACTCCGATTCCGAAAGTCGGAACTTCGATTGATATTACACATCTGGTTCCGCCTTCGGCTCCGATACTCCGATAATCGGAAGTTTTATTCGGAGGTCGAAGCATAGCGGCGGTCGCGGTCAACACCTATGAACAGGTTTTTGCAGGTCGCGCAGCCCCACTCCCCGTGGGCTTTCTGTCGTCGGTCGATTACGTACCTAATTACTATTTCACTCCTTGTTACGCAATCTTAATGAAGGTTTGTTGTTGTTTTGTGGTTGCGCGAAGAACGTGTCGGTTAACTATTGAGTTATCTACTAGTTTTTACCTACTAGTTTTTTGTCACCATCTCAGACTTCGACTCCGATTTCGGTTCCGGTTCCGAGTCCGATAAAACTACTTCCGTAACATTTTTTTTTTGCGCAAGTTAAAAGTGTGCTCTCTTTGCATGCTCTTTTTATTATTCTCTGCGTCAACTAAAAGTCAGATTGGTAGATATTACGGCATTAAGTCTGACTATGTAGGTACCCAATGCTTCTAAAGTACCTAGTCGCCGTGGGCATTTTATCTGCAAGTTCAAGTGTGCCCACGCTTCGGCAGAAATGGATAGACTCGATCGGAGTTCTAACAAGGCCTCTCAGAAAGCGGTCGTAAAACAACGCAAGCCTTGCATGCAGCTGTCAGTGAGGTTATCGGAGACCTCTTAATCCTCCCCACCTTATCCCCAAATCCTCCATCTCCCCATTCAAAAGGCCGGCAACGCACTATAACTCTAGTTGCCGCCAAATACCGTAAAAATACGCCTGACCGTTAACGACTGCAGTTTTTTATACTATTTTTAAATTACTGATGTTACGTCTTTGTTTTAATTTAGGTATATGTAACATAATTATCCAATATTTCTACTGTACATAATTAATATTGTATATTTGTTTAGAGTACCTACACATAACATCACACTGAAATAAAAATGTGGAAGTACTATAATATATGTTTTGTTTTATGAATTTTATTTTGAGAAATATTTGTGTCTTGGCGTGTAAATAAAACAAAAGAATATTTCTCCGGGTCCAGTATAATATGCGATTGGTATTTTTTTAAGCGACTAATAACAAATGTGCCAACGTTTGCCCAAAAAAGTTTTTAATCGTGAATGTGTGTTTTTTTCGTTTGTTATATTTTATTTACTTTTAAACTGCCCACGATACAATTCTGTTTGAATGGAGGGAAAAATCTTGTTTTCTTTGTAAATATGAAAATGGCGACTTCCGGCCTCATGCTGTGCCTTAGCCGCGGTAAAGTCAATATAACATACACTAACTGTAATTTTATTTAATTATATCGGGTATCATTTTAATTAATTATGACTGATGTAATATAAGTCTTAGTGGTACTTAATTAATAATCTTGATGATGTGATAAATAAATGAATTGAAAATATGTACCTATACTTGAGCTACCGACGTTATTTCCTGCCTTTACAGAACACGAACATCTGTTATATTGAATGGAACCGAATATATATGTCACCGGAAAATAACAAGATCCGTAAGTTTATCAATTTACTAGGAAGTTTATAAACTTTCGTAAGATTCTAAACGGGAGATAAATTGTAATATTTTACGTCCACATTTTCGTAAATTTATCAATTTCCGACGTCATACGGTAAATTTATAAACTAACGAATATCTATTCGTAAGATTTTGTATGGTTCGACCAATCACAGAAACTCTTTTATGGTACGTTTACACGCTTGCCAAGCCTTGGCAAGGATCGACAATCGCAAGCATGTAAAAAGGGCGTTTGGCTTGGCTTGCGTGGGCTTGTGCCTGCTTGCTTCCGATCCAGTCGAGTGTCGGTTTTTTTACGCAGATCAAAGGGCGTTTGCGGCAAGCGCTTGCGATGCATTTACATGTTGGTCCGCGTTTAGTAGCCATTGTGATCTCGCGGCGAGTACACGCTTGCTTGATTTTACAAAAAATAAATAAAAAATGAGTTGCTGGTCGAATGAGGAGAGTCTTTCGTTTCTGGAACATTACCAAATGGAACCATGCATCTGGAATCCGAAAGATGCAAATCATAAAGATAAGAAGAAACAAGCAGATGCATGGATTCGTCTTGCTGAACTTACTGGAAGGCCAGTAAAGGAAATAAAAAATAAAAAAGAGATATTGATGACTACTTTTCGCAAGCACTTGAAAAAAAAACGCGAATCTATGCGTTCTGGCGCAGGTATGTTCCTACGATACATTTATAATTATTTTGATAGTCTGCTTAGCAAGGTGTAACTTATGTTTAAAAGCGTTGGTTAGTTTCTCGATTATTCCGCAACTATCTCGCTCTAATTTTCGATGTTTTTATTTTATTTTAGGTGCCGAAGAAATATACAATCCAACTTGGTATGCTTACGAAACCATGGAGTCATTTTTACTACCAGTATATACTTGCAATGAAGGGATAAACACCGAAACAGTAAGTAAATAAATATATTTATCTATACTTATAATAAATCTGTAGAGAGGTCAATTCTGTACATGAAATATATTTCCAAAATAACTATCAGGGGGTGATTAGGGATCGATACTGATGCCAAAACTGCAATCAGTAAATTTTTTGTCTGTCTGTCTGTATAACCGTTATAGAAACAAAAACTACTCGACGGATTTTAACGAAACTTGGTACAATTATTTTTCATACTCCTGAGCTGGTTATAGTATACTTTTCATCACGCTACAATCAATAGGAGCAGAGCAGTGAAGGGAAATGCAGTGAAACCAAAGTTATACATGAAATACTCTAATAGTAAGCCATCGCGCGTGAATACTGAATCATGCTATAAGGATTATCTACACTAATATTATAAAGAGGAATACTTTGTATTTTTGTTTGTTTGTTTGTATATAGTAATATTATAAAGAGGAAAGATTTGTTTGTTTGTTTGTTTGTATTGAATAGGCTCCGAAACTACTGGACCGATTTCAATAATTCTTTCACCAGTTGAAAGCTGATTTGGTTCTGAGTGACATAGGAAGTAAGGGGGGAGGGGGGGGGGGAGCGTGCGAAGCCGCTGGCAAAAGCTAGTTCTAAATAAAAAAAAACACCGTTGGTTATTATACCTACATTTATTTACACATTTTTATCAACTTATCCAATCCTATTAAAATATGAAGTAAATTCTTCCCTGACTTCTCTGGCGTTCACCGGAGATCTTCGTGGTATTTGTGGTAAATTTTGCAATGCATTATATTCGTCGTTATCTCTACGCCATGAACCAGGGGTAACCATATTTCCACTACTGTCATATACGTCAAACGAACTCTGAGGAGTATATCGATTTGAAGAACTTTTACTTGTTCTCAAAAAGTTATGTAGTAATACACAGGTCATCGTAAATTCCGTTACAGTTTGTGGTTCTAAATTGATAGGGCGTCTGAATATTCTGAAAACTGAGGTTAAAATTCCAAACGTATTTTCAACTACAACTCGGGATCTAGATAAATTTTGGTTAAATAACCTTTTTGGTGAGCCTACTTCATGGTTTCCAGGGTAGGGTTTCATTACGTGTTGACTCAATGCAAAAGCACCGTCAGCTAAGAAGACGTATGGAATATTAATATTCGATCCTGGAAGTGGACATGGTGGTGGAAAATCTATCTCGTTTCTAATTATTCTTTTGCATAGTAAACAATTATTAAAGACGCCGCCGTCACTTATTCTTCCTTGACTCCCGATGTCTGCGAATACAAATTTGTATTTGCTATCCACTAAAGCCAAAAGGACAATGCTAAAAGTTTTCTTATAATTGAAATACTCTGTTCCACTATGAGTTGGGCTTTCAATGACTACATGCTTGCCATCCAATGCACCTATGCAATGTGGAAATTTAGTCCTGAATCCTTCTTCTATATTAAGCCATCCTTCTGCTGTGGTGGGCATCTGTAAAAAGAAAGTAAATGAAGTGTAAGTTTAAGTATATTATTTTTTTGCAGCAATCAGAACAAATAGAAGAAGATACATATCAGACAGAGGATGACCCTCTGATAAGAGTTAGTACACCATCCAGACCACCATCTAGATCACCATCCAGACCACCATCCATACAAGCTGTTACTAATAAACGTCGTCGCCCAGCTTCTGAAACGGCTGAAAAGCAAATGGCCGTGGCTTTTGGACAATTAACAAATGTTTTGGGTCAAAGGCAGAATGAAAATATACCTGCTCACAAAGACGATGATTGCGATCTATACGCAAAATTATTGGCTATAAAGCTACGTGAACTGTCAACTGATGAACGAAAAATTATGATGTACCAAATAGATGGGTTGTTTATAAACAGAATCAGTCAAAAATCAAATGAGCGTCATACACCATACCCTCAATATTATTCTCGACCGTCGTCAATGGCTGGTGCATATTCAACACCATCTCCTCAAGTCATTCCGAGTCGGCCAACATCAGTTAATAGTGTTTATTCTGAACCTATTCATAACAACCAAAGTTTTTTTCCCTCTCCAAACACACAAACCTCTTATTCAGCGCCAGACATGACAAAACATATACCAACTCCAATAGCTCCAGCTCCATCTACATCAACAGCACCCTCGTCATCTATTCGTATCATATCGGACCAAATCATCAACCCTACCCCACGTGAAACCAACATTATAAACATGGCTATGTTGAATGCTTTCGAAGATTTTGATTCGTCGACATAATTCTTATTTAAATTAATAAATAATTAAACAATAAAGCAGTCGGCTAACATACATTCATAGAACAGATTTTCTATGATTCTATTATAATCTAAATAAATGTATTTAATTAACATAATGTTGTGTTTTATTCCTACCTTAACTAGATCCTTTAGAATTTCATTAAGAGCTCGGCAAACTTCACGAATGATTATTGATATCATAGGGACAGATACTTTAAACAAGTAGTGAAGGCTTTTGTAAGAATCACCAGATGCCAAAAATCGTAGCGTAATGGCAAGACGAAATTTGGCTGGTATAGCTTCTCTGAAGTCTGTATCATGCTTGGATATCATTGGTGAAATTTTTTGCAGTAAAAACTCAAAATCAGAATAGCTCATTCGGCAGAAGTTATCAAACTCTCCAGATGGTTCATATAAAAGTTCATTAAATTTCTCTTCTATAAATTGTCTGTAACAAATAAAATATATCGTAAGTATTGTGGCATAACTCAACTGCAACAGATAATGGTTAAATCAAAATAGTAGTTACCTGGTACGATTATGATGAATCTTTTTCATCCACCATCTTCGCTGTCGTCGAGCTCTCCTTTTTTTTATTTCACTTTGCTTACACTTCAAATAAAAGTACGTTAAACCAAATGCAATAGCCGTCACAAGTTCGGTGTCCGCCATGCTTGGATGTATATTGCAGACTGACGCATTCACAAGCGTATAAACGCCTTTCAAACGCCAAACGAGATTTGTGGAGGCTTGGGACTGTTTGCAGTTTGCCAAGGCTTGGCAAGCATGTAAACGTACCATTAAATATACGATCTTTGAAATACGTAAAATAACACACTGCTCTCTGATTGGTCAACGTTCATAGTGGCAATGCTTGTGTCCATAGAAGTGACACGTGACAGCCAACCAATCAGATCGCGCGTAGCGTTTGGTTACTGCTTATTATTTTACGAATGAGTTCAGTAAGTTTATCAATTTACGAAAATGTGGACGTAAAATATTACAATTTACCTCCCGTTTAGAATCTTACGAAAGTTTATAAACTTCCTAGTAAATTGATAAACTTACGGATCTTGTTATTTTCCGGTGACTTAAACATGTCATAGAGAAATTAACTAATTTCTCTATGACATTTGTACACACAGTGTCCATTCCAAAGTTAATAATAATAAAAAAGGTTAAATAAAATCAAAGCTTTTGCCATAATATATTCTTCTTTTTTTCGAATGTTAACACGATAACAAATAGGCAAAATACCTAATTTCGTTGAAATAATACTGTATTTTATATACCTGATATCGAGACGACAATGAATGCAGCGAATCCTTAATGCCGGTAACCGTATATTACATAACTACACATTTTTTAGCAATTAAACTTTGATAAATTACACTTATTTAATCAGTGATGAGGTGGTTTCAGGTAATATTGTAATTAAAAATAGTATATTTTATTAATTAACTAAACCATAAAATACATTGGAAGTTTCAAAATAATTAAAAATGTAGTGTCCAGTACGAGTTTTTACGTAGATTTGTTAGTATTAGTGCTAATTAGACTTGGACTAGCCTTGTAGCGTGGGATAAAGTTTGCTGTTATTGCACCTCATATTATAAAATGTAGCTAATCAGTGAAAACACTGTTTATCCAGATTTTATAATGCCTTTGCGAGCTTTTGACTACCTTAAGAATTAAGTGAAGAAACTCTCTCTCGAAGATACGTAAGTACTAGTTTTTTAACCGTAGTTAACTTTCAGCCGATAATAAGATTCCAGACATCCAGGCGGGTAGTTTAAAAATAATTGTCTCTTCAATCAGCCAGTTAAACGTTTTCAAAACAACAACACTAATTCAATATACAAGGCAACATTGAACGAATCTGTCAAAATCAATTCGGACTTTTTGGCGGGAGTTCAAATATAGCGCATGAAAAGTTTTTTCATTTGTGATTTTTTTTTTGAATCTAATACTTTATTTCATTGTAAATTGCATGTAAATAGTAAAGTGTACATAATAGTGTATTAAACATGGATGTTGGCGAGGGCGGGGGCCCAAAACCCCCGGCCCCAAAAAATCATAAACTTAAAGACTTGGACGATGGCGGCGGGGGTAAGGAAAGTGATTTTTTACCCTATCTAAAACCCGGATACAAAAGACTTTATCCAGAAAATTCTTCAAATTTGGAGTTCAAAGTTTACGTGCAGGGTGAAAAAATTGGCAATAAAAGTCCAACCTTTTTAAATCATATATTTGTAAATGAGGTAAAAGGTGTAGTAGCGATTCGTAGAATCAATGCTAACAAGATTGCGGTGGTGTTCAAGCAGTATAATACTGCTAATAATTTTATAAGTAACTCTTCATTTCTGGAGAAGTACAACTTTAAGGCGTTCATACCAGCGGCAGACATAGAAAGAACAGGAATTATCCGATACGTACCCACAAACTTATCTAACAAGGAGCTTTACTCAAAGCTAGAGTCGGAGTATGAAATAATTGCAGTCCGACGATTCACCAAAAAGGTTGGACAAGAACGGGTACCACTTCATACAGTGAGCATTACCTTTCTGTCCAGTTCTTTACCACAAAATGTACAATATGACTTATTCTCTTACCGCATTTTTGACTATATCCCTCCTCTACAACAATGTTACCGTTGCTTCAAATTTAACCACTCAGCCAAAATATGTAATGGCAAACAAAAATGTAGCATTTGTGCTGGGGACCACTCATATAGAGAGTGTGATAACCCCTCAGCAATCTGCTGTGCTAATTGCGGTGGACCACATTTAGCAATTTCAAAGGCATGCGAAATCAAGTTAAAAAAGATAATGGAAAAAAAGGAACGTATTACTTACGCTAGTAAGGCTGAAACTAAACTTAATGTGACTCAGGGAGATTTCCCACCATTGCGCAAACCAAGACCTCAGGTCAATGTAAATAAAAATTCTGTTGTAAATAAAAATGTAAATTCTGCACCTATAAATACTGAACCTAAAATAATTTCTGTTGCTGATGTCAAGGCTCAACTCCTGGCAAATAATGACTTACTTAAGGCCATTGTTCGCACACTCATTGTAATCGCCAATAAGGGCAAGGATGATCCTCCAATCAATACAACAACTATTAAAGATATTCTACTGGAGAATCTTACATAATGGATATAGACTCCAATATACAATCTCAGCTATGCATTGCTCAGTTTAATATACAAAGTGTATACAGTAAAAAGCCCTTACTCTTAAAGTTTCTTAATGATAAAAATATTGATATTTGCCTTTTAAATGAAACGTGGATTAAAGATAACAAACCTTTCCACATTCCTGAATATAATATACATTTCAAAAATGCAGCTAATGAACATGGGGGAATAGCTATCCTCATAAAACATAATTTAAAGTATACAACTTTACAAACCACATTTTATGAAGATGTACAAACTGTTGCAATTTCTCTTTCTACAGAGTTAGGTGACTTATCTATTTTGACTGTGTATTGTCCACCACACAGTGGCCATACTAGATTAAACAAATTGAGAAATATCATAAAAGAACTGCCAAGCCAGTGTTCATTTCAGGAGACTTTAATGCTCATCATATTGCTTTTGGCTGTGTAAGCACCAAGGGTAGAGGGCAGCAACTATATGATATAATTGATGAGTTGGATCTATGCTTGTTGAATGATGGCAGTTTCACAACAAATAATCGGCCTAATTGTAACCCATCAGCTATTGATATCACTTTTACAAGTGCAGTTTTAGCACCACTGTGTGATTGGACTGTACATGATGACAGTATGGGTAGTTATCATTTCCCTACAATTACAAATCTTACTTTAGCTGTTAATAAATATCAAACAAATCCTCCAATAGAGAAATTTTTATACAAAAAAGCAGATTGGGTGAAGTACTGTGAAATATCTGAAACTTTATTTAATGATATCAATGTGGATACTGAGAACCCTTTGAAGTCATATAATACCTTCTGTAATAGACTTAGCTCTTTGAAGTTACTTTGCATCCCAAAGTATACCAAGACTAGTTCATATAGAAGTAGGCCACCAGCGCCATGGTGGAATGAGAAGTGCGAACAAAGCGTCATTAAGTCTTATCAAGCTTTAAAATACTATAGAAGTAATCCTACAATGGATAACTACATTATATATAAGAAGTTAGACGCCTTGAAAAAGAGAACCATATCTGAAGAAAAGAAAAATGGTTGGCGCAATCTCTGTGAGTCTTTTAATAGAAATACTCCTATCAGTAAGATTTGGAACTATATTAAAATATTTAAGGGTAGGAAAACTCATAATAAATCACTTTCTGATGAATTTGTTTTGCCATTCTTAGATAAACTATCAGATAATGGATCTGATGGTATAGTTGATGTTGATATGTATTTTAATATTAATAATGATAATAATGAGACACAGTTTTTAATTGAACCTTTTACATGGCATGAGTTTAATATGAGTCTTCATTCCCGAAAAAATTCTGCGCCTGGATTGGACAACTTTCCTTATATTTTGATAAAACATTTACATATATTGGTGCAAAAATTGTTTCTGAACATTCTTAATGCACTTTGGCTCCATCAAGTAATTCCACTGTCTTGGAAAACACAATGTGTGATACCAGTGCTTAAACCAGATAAACCAGTCAATGATGCTAACTCATATCGACCTATTTCATTATCATCCTGTCTTGGAAAAATTTTTGAGAACATGGTTAAGATTCGTCTTGATTGGTATGTGGAATCGAAGTGCATTATCCCAACTATTCAATTTGGCTTCAGAAGAGGCAGAAGTTGTGCAGACGGCTTTGTTTCTCTTATCTCAGATCTGAAAAGAGCAAGAAATAATAATGCTAGTGCAGTATGTACCTTTTTAGATGTACAGGGGGCATTTGATAATGTGCAACCTGGTATTTTGATTAAAATTCTGTCTGATTTAGGTATTCCAGGAAAATTTTGTAAATGGATATACTCTTTCTTAAATGAAAGAATACTATATGTAAAACACAATAATATTTTACATGGTCCTAGGCAAGTGTCAAAAGGAACAATGCAAGGGGCAACTTTGTCCCCATTGTTATATAATATATATACATCTCAAATTTGTAAATATGTAAATATGGATAATGTAAATATTTTGCAGTTTGCTGATGACCTTGTTGTATATAGTGTACATAATGATATTGATTTGGCAATTGCTAATATTAATAATGCTCTTAGTCAATTATATCACTACTACAACAATAAACTTCGATTAAATATCAATCCCAACAAAAGTAATGTAATGTTTATAACAAAAGATTTACCTAGCTTGTCTGTGTTATACAATGATAAAGCAATTCCTATAGTAAGCAGTCATAAATTTTTAGGTGTGCAAATTGATAATAAACTGACATTCCAAGGTCATATCAAGTACATTTTACAAAATTCTTTGAAAGGCTTAAATATCATGAGGTGTTTGGCAGGAGTCTCCTGGGGAGCTGACCCGGTTACTCTTGCTATTTTGTACAAAGCCATTGTAAGAAGCCATTTTGATTACAGTTGTCTAGCCTATATTGATTGTAATTATGTACATAGATTAGATATAGCACAAAACAAAGGTCTGAGGATAATATCTGGCGCCATGTGCTCAACTCCCATCCGTGCCATGGAAGTTGAGACAGGGGTGATGCCCCTTAGTATAAGAAGATATCTACTTGCTCAAAGATTTTCTGTAAAGCTATTTGCAGCTAATAATAATGAAGTTTTAAGAAGAATTTTACCTCAGTATCCAGTAGTTCACAATGTGTCTGGTGTGACTGGGGCTGGCCTTCACTGTCATATTATCCCAGATTTATCTCAGGTTATCCTGGAAGCACATTTTAAATTTTCGAATATAATTAAAAGTTCTCATTGGGCATGTTACTCCACAAAGTACAAGATATTGTTATTTGAAGTCTCAATTATAAATACAGTAGTTAGTAATAATGAGGAGTTATTAAACTTTATTCACCTTAACAGTCACTATTATAGACTTTATACCGATGGCAGTAAGGGTTTGTCTCATGTTCGCAGTGCTGTTTATGATCCTCAAATTCAGTTTTGTCAAAGCTTTGAGCTTAGTCTTTTATGTAGCATATTCACTGCAGAGGCTTATGCAGTTCTTGAGGCCCTAAAAAAAATTTCATCAATGCATTACACAACCTATTTAATTTTGACTGACTCTTTAAGTGTGATTAAAGCATTAGAGAATATTAATTTTCATTTCAAAACAAATTATCTTTTAATTAAGATTCGAGAAGTTTTATTTGATTTAAAAAATAAAGGCATTTCAGTTTCTTTTATGTGGATCCCTTCACATAAAGGTATTACTGGCAATGAAATCGCTGATAGAGCTGCATTTGATGGGATAAATTGTATAAATGTATCTAATATTGTAAAGGTACCTTTTACGGACTGCTATGCACTGATTAGAGAAAACATAAAACATGTATGGAAAGACTTCTGGAAGAAAGACCAAGAAGAAAAAGGAAAGTGGTACGGTACTATTCAATCGGACTTACCTGTGAGACCGTGGTATGACCAAAAGCAATACAAGTACGCCAGACGAGATTTTATATCTACTATATGCAGGCTTCGATTCGGACATCATAGAACACCCGCACACCTTGCAAGACTCAAACTTGATGCAAATGACAAGTGCTTGAATTGTAACGTCTTATGTGACATTAGTCACATAGTGTTGGTATGCAGTGACTACAACATGCAAAGGTTGATTTTAGCCAGTGAACTAAGTGAAATTGTAGATAATGTTTCCTCCCGCCGCCTAGAAGATCTACTACGTGATCCAAAGTGTTTAGTGCCGTTATACAATTTCATTAAAAATACTCTGGAAAGTATATAATAACATAAAACCGAGTAAATTAAAAGACTTGGCTTAAAGGACTCGTATCCAGGCCATAAACTCCAAAAAAAAAAAAAAAATCAAAATCAATTCCTTTGTTTGACATTTCACAATACACATTGTCAATTTTTTGTGAATACATAGCGCAGCCTAGCGCAACTTAGAAGAAAAATAAAAATGTATGGGCTTGGCACGGCAAATAATGGCACACGGAAGTAGCCGGATATTGTCATCCCACTCCCTCAGTACAGTTCTCTTTCTTTCACTAATCCGTCGGCCATTTTGTTTGAAGTTTTGAACTTTGAATGTCGTTGCTTTTGTAAGTTTATGTTGTTATTTTCATAATTTCATAAATTTACGTATAATTTGTTTAGTTAATTAGTGGTTAGTGATACGGCTGTGACTAGTTACGTGTTCAAGTAAAATGCCACCAAAAAAACGGTTTCTAACTTGTGAAATATGCGGAGGACGATCCGGTCGTCAAAAAATGGCGAGAAAAGGATGTTTATGGCGAAATTTCCTTTGGATGAGGACCGGTAAGCATTAAATGATATAATTTTATTTAATTCTAAGTATAAAAGGCTACAAATACATGTAAATTGATTTTCATGTACTTATTGTGTACTAGTGATGTACCTCAAGTATCGATAGTCACAGACTTATGTGTGGGCTAAACTCCAAAGATCCCTTGATTTATTTATTCTTTCGTGATTTACTTTCCAGACCACACCAAAGAAGTAATGATGTTATTAGATGTTGTTGAAGAAAGTTGTGACACGACAAACCCAGTAGATTTTAAGAAATTAATGATTAAACGTAGATAAAAATTTATGTATACTGCATTCGTAAAATGTATGCATTTATTATATAAGGAACGCCAGCTGTTTACACAATTTAGAGTTATTCATGTCAGGGACTGTCCATTTTGATTTTTTCCATTTTTCAGGTGCCGGCAGTGGGTGAAAGTTGTTGGCAAAGAAGATTTAGTGTATGTGCCCATAGAACCAATTTACTGAACCAATATATGTATTAAGTATTAGAGTCCACTTAATTTAAATAATTTTAGTTAGGTCCTTAACACACCGTCCGTATATAACATGAATTTGAATATTATTACAAAAATATATTTTTTAGTTTTTAATATAACACAATGTTTTATTTCAAATCCGAATTTTATCTTAAAGATCGAAACTAAAAATTAAAAAAGTAATATGACCTCGATTTCTACCCTATAAATATTATCGATATCGATACTAAACTACTAAGTATACAGCTACCACAGAACTATTTGGTCTTTTAGGTTGGTACTATTGACTTTGACGGCTGACATCTTTTATTTATTGCAATGTAGGTATTAGAGTGCCGTGTAAATTGATTCCACTGGCTTGTATGGGAGTCCCGTCTCTTAAACGTAGTGGTTACATACTCTTTGACATAGCGGTGCCTGTGCTGAATTCACGAAAATTCGTTTTAAAATTACAAAAGACATCACTGAAAACTGTGTTAATATAAAATTTATCATTGTACCTATAAACTGTAAAGTTTTTTTGTCTCGGAAAAAGGTGAGTCTCATTGAATTTGTTGAATCAATATACATGTGTGTAGATCGCGTGAGGTCATCGCGCATACGAATTTATATAGTTTACAAACTTGGGATTGGAATATAAAGTAAACCCGGTAATACTGGTTGGAAAGAAAGTTTAAATTAATATACGAACTTTTTAAGTTGTATTTTTTGGTATACGTCTTTAGAAAATAAGTTAAAATTGATACCAAATATAGAAGTTTCAAACGCCCACGGTTCGTCTTGATCCGAAAGTACTTCCAGTAAGTATTAAGATTCATAAAGAAAATTTATTAGAATTTATAAACAAAATATTAATTTTGTTAAATACAGTTCATATGCTATGTTGTTAAACAAGAAGCAACTAGATTTATTCTCAAAAAAGAAAACTGAAGTAATTTTTTATTATATTGGGAAAAAAAATGTTATTTAACTTTTATTAATACAGTGAATAATATGACACACTCATGATTTTCTATAGGTAAAGCTACTAAAATCACCCCAGATTGAGTTCAGCCATATTAGACATTTGTTGTAATGAAAAAAAAAAATGATAAAAAAAAATTCTATTGAATGACTGCCAGTGTCTCAACGTGACAACTGATTAATAAACCAGAAAACTTTAACTTTATGGTAGTTTTTCATTAGGAACTAAAAAGACTAAATAGAACTGGAGCTGATCTGGTTTCTGTCTCGTTCTTCTCCATTTGAATCTACACTACTTTGTAACGAGCACCTAGCTTCACTGACGAACTGACTGACAGACTATTATTCTGTTTTGATCTTTTTAAAGTACCTAATTATGACTTTGACAAAACATTACGATTAGTTACAGTATTAATTTTAGTTCTGAATTTTTAACTGGTATATGTTACACCTTCGAATTACAATTTCCAGCAGTAACCAGCAACCATGGATCAGCTACTGCAGCAGGTTGCCTCCAACATGGAGAAGCAGCTGGACAGTGAGATTGAGAGGTAATTCATATTTGCATTTTGATTTCCTGTGATAAAAAAATACTAATAATATGTCTTCATTACATTTTTATTTAATACACTTTTAAATGGTCCGTCGGATTAGCTGATGGTAAGCAATCGGCGCTGCTCATGGACATCCAACACCAGACCATTAGACATGCAACACAAGCGGAGTTACAAGTGAGGGTGGCGATATGGGGATAAGGGCTTTTGGGATTCAAGGAATCGGGAAGGTTGGGGGTAGGGCAAGGAAGGAAGTTGGGTTATCCGGTAACCTTACTCACCTGTTTCACGTCAGTATTTTGTGATACCATAGTAGGCACGTATGGGTTGGCTTGACTGAAGTGATATTTCGGCCTCACAGAAAACCGGCGTGAAATAACCACATCGTTTTGTTTCGCCGTGTGAGTGAGGTTCCAATCCCTCCTCAATCCCTAAATCTCCAAATCCCTTATCCCTAAAAGGTCGGCAACGCACTCTTTACCCCTCCGTTGCGAGTGTCCATGGGCGGTGCTGATTGCTTACCATCAGGTTATCCGCCTGCTTGCTTGCCGACCTTTTACATAAAAAAAAAAATGTTTTTTACTTCCATTCTGTCCTGTCACTCGTCACGCTATCGCTAACTCCTCTGTCTTCCATATCACCTCTCACACAATCCATCCATATTTTCTTTGGTCTCCCTCTCCATCCATCCACATTTATACTCATGGCTTTTTGGTTCTAATAACATTCACATTACAAAATAAAGAACTCTACTTATCCTTAAACTGTGTGAACAAAGAAATCCAGCCAGAGACCTCTTGCCCAACACCAGATTTTCACCATTTCACTAATGTAACTTGTTATCGGCTTCATTTAGTTTTTCAAATATAATTAGAAGTGTAAAAGTGCCGTTTTATACCCTATTTGCAAAAATAAATTCATTGTTTCATTGTAATTCTTATAATTCCAGGCTGGAGACTATGGACTCCAATGACCTGGAGGCTATCAGACAGCAGAGGATCGCCGAGATGAAGAAACGCGCCAAGGCCAAGCAGGAGTGGCTAGCTAATGTATGTTAAAGATTTTTTTAGTAACTTACTATTCCTTTCCTGCGCGGTTTCACCCGCTGCTCGTCTCCATTTGATCGTAGCGTGATGTTTTATAGCCTATGGCACTCGCACACACATTGTAGCTATCTATCAGTGAAAGAATTTTGGAAATCCGACCAGCTATAACATTTTGAATGAATTTTTTACGTTTGTAACAAGAAGAGCTGATTTAACTAGTTTTGTCTTTTTAAATCGTGAGTTTTATGGCTTGAGAGTCCCGGTAACTATTGAAACCAGTCGTAGTTACTGAAGAGTCAGTGTATAAATAAATAACCACATTATTTTATGTGATATGGCGGTAAACGAGCTGACGGATTACCTGATGGTAAGCAGTCGACGCCGCACATGGATACCCGCAGCATCAGAGGAGTTACGATTGAGTTGCCGAACTTTAAGGGATTAGGATTTTGGGTGTTTAGGGATTGGAAAACAACGCTGTGGTTGTTTCCCTCTGGCCGTGGTATCACTCCGGTTGAGTCGACCCATTCGTGCCGAAGCATGGCTCTCTCACACTTTAATGTTAATTATTATAAGTCCAGGTTTCTTCACAATGTTTTCCTACATTGTATGTCAGTCAATGGTGTCTAAATACACTGAGAAAGTTGACTAATCTTCAAGCCACCACAATTTATTTTTTCACCAGTGTCTTTAATTCCCTTCTCCGCAGGGCCACGGCGAGTACACAGAAATAGATGGAGAAAAAGATTTTTTCGCAGTGTGCAACAAGAGCGAGCACGTCGTATGCCACTTTTACAAGAACGACAGTCCGCGCTGCAAGATTGTTGACATGCACCTCAAAATATTGGCCAAGAAACATGTTGAGACACGCTTCGTCAAGCTGGACGTGGAAAGGGCTCCCTTCCTTACCGGTTAGTGCACACAATATTTGTTAGAATACTGGTTTCTTTTATTTTAGACTATAATCTATCTCTGTGCCAAATTACATTCAGATCCGTTCTGTAGTCTATAAAAATTTGTAAGTTTGTATGTAGGGTGTAATCTTTGGAACCGCTGGTCGGATTGCCAAAATTCTTTCACTGATATGTTCGTGAACGGACGTGGCCTATTGGAACTGGTCAACTCGAGACTGTCTAAAGTTGTTGTCCTTGAGGTTAACTTCTTTTTCGAATTCTTTGCCTAAACATTAGTGTTACACTGTTCTCACATATCAGAACCGACTAAATGATGTTAGAAAGAAATAAATTGTGAAAGTGATTGAAAAAGAGTAACCAAAGAGTTTCTTGCTCGTTCTTCTCCATAGGAATCTACACTTTGGAACAAGCAAATAGCTACACTAGAGGACTGACCGACAGACCGACACATATGAAGTTAAACCTTTGATATATTTTTTTTTGTTTGATTTTCAAGTGCCTCGCATTGTGCTCTTCATCTCTCTAATGCCAAAGGCGTTTACTGCAAGTGCTTTTCTCTGTGAGCCCTTGGAACAGCAGGTGCGCGAACGCCGGCGTTCCCTTGGTGTTTGATGAACTTAGTGTTAGAGACTGAGTAAAAATACTGTTTTTTCTTTTCTTCAGGTCGTTTGAAGATCCGCGTGATCCCCACCATTGGGCTGGTGAAGGAAAACAAGACTAAGGATTTCATCGTCGGGTTCACTGACCTCGGCAACAGGGATGACTTCTCTACCGAAATGCTGGAGTGGAGGATAGCTAGGTAACTATCTAAGATCGTTCCATCATCGGACCACTAGACGTACGGCATTGCGCCACCGGTACATGGTGGATGTCCCACATATACGTACAAAACGTTTTGTAAGCACATTCATTATGCGTACAGTCAATGAGTGGAATTCCTTGCCGGAGTCGGTGTTTCCTGATAGTTACAATCTGGGTATCTTTAAGTCAAGAGTGAACAGGTTACTTCTAGGTAAGCGCGCTCCATCGTCGACCGCATCATCGCTTTCCATCAGGTGAGATAGCGGTCAAGCGCGAGCCCATAATCAATAAAAAAAAAAAAAAAGATTCTTAGTTTTGGTAGGGTCAATGGGGGGGGGGGGGGGAGGGCAGTGTCCATCGAATTAATCGAAAGAGATGAGCAGACTCTTACTGACTAAAAACCAACAGGTCGGTAAACGAGCATACGGATTACCTGATGGTCCATGGACACTCGCATTAACAGAGGAGTTACGAATGTGGTGCCGATTTTTTGGGATTTGGAGATTTTGGGATTGTGTGATGTTAACCTCTGGTAACCTCACTCATTTTTTTGTCAGGGGAAAATCATCAAATGACTTCTCCCGCCCAGGGTAAGACGAGAGAGAGTGTCAGACTCTTACTGACTAAAAACCCCCCCTGTTCCTTCTCCTGCTCTAGGCCGAGGTCGCGGTGCCTCATTGCGCTTACCCCTCCACCCCGGCTGAACACCTGTCCTATAGGGCCTCATCTGTGGTGGTCTATTGGCTCTTTGAGGCGCGCGCGGAACGCTACGCGCCGTACGCTCGGGTCTGGTTCTGGTCGGGCGGCGAGCTACCCTTACTTGCCTCGCTTACGACCATATCTAGTCTAGATTTCTAACTCAAAACCTTTTAAATTCCAGATCAGACATCATAGAATACTCAGGCGACCTCCTGGTCCCTCCCGAGGAGGCTCGCAAGGCGCGCAAACTGCAGGTTCAAAGCAAGAAGACCATCAGAGGCACTCCGGACTCGGATTCAGACTTGGAACTCAGCGACTAACAGTTTGTTGGCCCTAAAATAGAATTAACTTTTATATTCTACTAAATAGAATCCTAAATTATATTTGTTTATAGTACTCAAATAAGGGGCGTTCATATAATTAGGAGAGATATTTGGTTGGTTGATTTATCCCCCCTTGGTGAGATGTCGTGTGATTTTAGTCTCAACTAGCTTTTGCGCGCGACTCCGTTCGCGTGAAAAAGTAACTTCCTGCTGATTTTTGGTATAAACACTATCCTATGTCCTTTCTCGAGTTCCAAACTATGCCTGTACCAAATATCACAGAAATCGGGTGTGTAGTTTAGGCGTGCAGAAAAAACAGACAGACAGAGTTACTTTAGCATTTATAATATTAGTTTGGATTTCGATTAGCGATCCGTCCCTGCTTCGCTCGGGTATTCATCTATTTTTCCCGGTTGCAATTAGGATTTTTATGAAATTATTTTTCGTAAGAACACTTCTCCTTACAATAATAAATACAACAAAAAACTAATTAGCTAAATTGGTCTAGGCTTACCAATACTTTTGGCTGTTCATTTTTATATATAAAGTATTTTTTTTTTATTTATCTCGTCAATTATTTGCACAAAATGTTCGAATTAGCGAAACATTCCCTCTTTTTAACAAAACTCTGGTTTTTGTAAAAAAATGTCCTGTGTGAATGGTGCTAAGCGATTGTACAACTTATTGTTTAGAGCAGAGAGTACATATTTGTTTGTGCGTACTTGAGTAGTGTGACCAGACTTCGCAACGGTAGTTTGGTAGTTTTCGCTAGTTGTGTTCGGGTTATTATATTTATGTGTGATTAATGTTAAATGTACAATACAATGCATTATTATTAAACTATTTTGAATAAACACTTTTTTAACAATATTTTGTTTTATTTTTATGTAATTTATAAATATATTTTACATGATATTGTTCTTCAAATAAACGATGTCACATTGGAATGGCAGTGACGCGGGGAGCACTTTCAGTGTGAAGATATTTTTAACTTTAAGTACTTACTTTAAAGACCAATATCGCTTAAAAAGCTTCAATAGTCGCGAGGCAGGCCGCTCACGTCACCGCTGTGGTAACTAAACTAGTCAATAAGATACAGCGTAAGCAGTGTGGGAGAGCCAACAGTCAAGCTTCGGCACGAATGGGTCGGCTCGACCGGAGTGATACCACAGCCTCACAGAATACCGAAGTGAAACAACCACAGCGTCGTGTTTCGCCGTGTAAGTGAGGTTACCGGAGGCCCAATCCTTCCCCTCCCCGATCCCTCCCAATCCCTAAATCTCCAAAACCCTAATCCCTAAAAGGTCGGCAACGCACTCGTAACTCCTCCGATGCGGGTGTCCATGGGCGGCGCTGATTACTTACCATCAGGTAATCCGTCTGCTCGTTTGCCGACCTACTCCATAAAAAAGCAGTTTTGTGGGGCTATGTGTTTGAATTTCAAGTATTTTTTTTAAGAAAATAAAAGTGTTTAATCTGCGGCAGCTGGCATTTCGGTGTGACTCTAACCTTACTGATGAAATTCAGGCTTCACAATACTTACAATAAACTAATACTACTTACTACGGATGTGTGGGTAGGGCGGTGTATTGCAAACAACTGGCGGACCGTCCGATTGCGTCCCCATACACCGTAATTAATGCAACTCAGCATCTCGCTGTTACCATATTTCTTCAAAAATGTCACTCACCCACTTGTGGTTATCAAGGCGATAAAAGTTAATGCGTTTGAATCTCACTTTCTCATTATTCAGGAGATTTTTTTAAAGGGTCAACAATGAAATTACATTCAGACATTCTGATGAGAATGCCTAGTCGTTTATTCTAAAAGTCTTGTTTTTGTTGCAGATTGTTAAGAATTGATGGATTCGATGTATATTCTAGGTGCTCTGTTAAATATGAATGAGTTAAATTAATATGTTATAGTAATAATTACTAAATGAGTTATGAGTAGGTATATTAGAGGAAGTTTGAAAGTGGCGCCAGTGACTGAAAAGTTGAAAGGGAACCGTTTGTCTTGGTATGGCCATGTGAAAAGGAGGGATGAAACGCACGTTACAAAAAAGACAAGAGTATAAATGTGGATGGATGGAGAGGGAGAGGGAGACCAAAGAAAATATGGATGGATTGTGTGAGAAATAATATGGAAGTCAGAGGAGTTAGTGATAGCGTGACGGGTGACAGGACAGAATGGAAGAAAAAAACATATTACGCCGACCCCAAATAGAACGGAACAAGGGCAAGAAGAAGATAAGTAATAATTACTAAAAACCATCAACTGATTTTCTACCGTATCGTTATCTTGCAACCCTGTTCTTATCTGTCAAGGTAAGTGTCAAAGTGACAAGCCGTCACTCCGCTTCAATCCGCTTCATGCATAGTTGTGACGGATGACAGCTGATTGAGTGTGGTGAGATCGAGTTAAGAAGTGCAAAGTGTAGTGTTACGCAGTGGTTTTCACTATTTTCTTTTTAAATGAAAATTATTGACTAAACAACGAACTATATAAGTGTCGTATCTACTACAATTACACTTCAAGCCGCAACTTAAACTTGCTAAAAGTGTACCTTTGTGTGATTATAAGGAAAAAAGTTGATATTTTCGCAATAAAAAAAATTCTATGGTGTGTGCAAATAAAAATATTAGGTAAGTTTTTCGTGTAGCGCCTCTAGGTATACTTCCTATGAGTCTATTTTTAGTTCAACGATGTCGTTTAACGTTCTTTAGCCTCAAAATATTAGTTTCAAGGTTAAAACGCAGACTTTGTACTATTGAGTTCGTAACCAAAACATTTTTTTTTAAAGTACGTATCATTGTCTGCCTTTGCGTTGCATAAAGTTTGTAAACATTAAAAAATAAAAACAGGTTTCAGTGACGCAATGGACGATTTTCGTATTTCGTAATTACAAAATTCGTTTTTCGCGTGTTCTTACGAAAATGATAAAAGAATTATGTTTTTATTTGAAGACGCTATTGTGTGGACTTTGATAGTGAATTATATCTACATTTTCGCTACATCATCGCCATTCAGAACTCGTTTTCGAGATAACGAATACTCAAGTCTAAAAAATTATCATTATTGTTTTATTTCATTAACTTATCTTTTATTTAACCTTATATTGTTGGATAGCACATTTTACGATCGTATTTTGTCTAACATTTTTGAAGGTTATCAAAACGTTTGATAACTGTAGGTATTAATTTAAAGCTACTATGAAAATTATGTTTATTTATGAATTTTACCTAGTTATGACAGAAATACATTTCTCTATACCAACTCTTCCTGTGAATGCATCATTCATAATTGTTGACTTGGAGAATAACCTTTAGAAATAGCACTTTAACCATAATTATTTTGTTTTGTCCATTTCACACAAGTCGTATAGAGGTTACATTAATTTAGTTTTTTTTAAACCAGCATGTAATGTTATACTCCATTTACCAAAGTCATTAGTCAATTTTAAACTCTAAGACAGAATTATAAAGTTAAAAATCTTTCACTAAACAGGAGTACCATGACTTGCCATTGTTCAAAAACAATGACATCAGGAAAGAGGTTGAGTATTAATTATGTATACAATGGTATTTAAATACAGTAGACATTAATTTTAATTAGTGCACATACTGAGGTATTATTGCACATAAGGGTACAATAATGTATACTAAATGTTAATAAAATTAGTGAAATTGTAAAACAAATATTAGTTCTTAAAAAGAGTAACAATGGAGTTTGTTGCTTGTTCTTCTCCATTTGAGTCTACATTTTAGAACGAGCACCTAGCTTCACTGACGAACAGACTGACAGACTACTATTCTATGTTGATGTTTCAAAAGTACCGGTTTATAGTTTAGTTGAAATAAATGATTTTGACTTTTGACTACGTGATTAAGTAGAAAATAATATAATATTTTGAAAATTCATGCCAATAAAATGAAAAAAAAAAAAAATAGTCACACTTTCATTTCGTTATTTTACTACTTATATATAATTTATCTTATTATATAATGTTGTTTGACACAATATTAAATATATTATAATAATTCATTCATAGGAAACATTGTAACAATTCAAAAAAGGCATACACATAATCCTATTGAAAATAATGTTTCCCTTACACTGATTTTCCTGTTGTCTGCATTGTGGGTAGGAGAATTTACAAACATACAATTTAGCATAGACAAACAAGCCAGACTTAAAACAAAATATGTTTTGTGGATCCCATAAAGTATTGTTTCATGCAGAAACATTCTCCTCGCTTAGTCGCCCTCACACTTCCCCTCTGGGTGGGGAAAGGCATGCTAGACTCTTACTGACTAAAAACTCTTCTCCTGCTCTAGGCCGAAACCGCGGTACCTTATTGCGATAACATTGGCCCTATTGGCCCTATAGACCACCATTCACGGGTAGGTACCCTATCTGTGGTGGTCTATTGGCTCTTTGAGGTGCGCGCGGTACGCTACGCGCCGTACACTCGGGTCTGATTCTGGTCGGGCGGCGAGCCACCCTTGTTAACCGTATCTACATTCTTATATCGACTCATGGATAAATAATAATAGTAGCTGTAATTAGTTGATCGGTTTAAAACTAATTAGAATAGAAATGAATTTTATTTAATGGTAGGTAATTATCTGATACAATATAGTGTTTTTTTATTTGAAACTAGCAGCTCGGCCCTGCTTCGCACGGGTCCCAAATCTCCCCTCTACTTTTCTAAAATTTTCTTTCATAAGAACCTTCTCCTGACAATAACAAACGCAACAAAAAAAGAATTAGCAAAATTGGTCCAGGCGTTATTGAGTTATGCGCTTAACAACACATTTTGCGATCCATTTTTATATATAAGATACGAAATCATGATGACTTAGTAAAAAAAATAACTATTTTTATGTGATATGGCGTCAAACGAGCAGACCGATTACCCGATGTTAAGCAATTAGTGTCGCCAATGGAAACTTGTAACTTTTGACCCGTATAAAGCGTTTTGGGAATTTAGGATTTGGGGAAAGTATTGAGTCTAAAACATTTAGTTTCCACAAATAAATCTTTTACGGCCTTCTTTAGTCTAGGACTAAACCATTGAGCCAGTTTTTGTATTCCGAACTGAAGGTAGATGACAAAAAGATTAAAAAATCAAAATCCGACTCAATGGTTTAAACCTGGACTAAAGATAAATCTTGTTTTGTAATAAGGGCGTTAGAGTTTAGTCAGTGTCTGAACCTATATCCCTATGTGTGTTTAAATGCTTCAAAACTACGCAACGGATTTTTAGTTTTTTTCTATACTGATATTATAAAGAGGTTTGTATGTAGGGGGTAATCTTTGGAATCGCTGGTCGGATTGCCAAAATTTTTTCGCTGATAGGTAGCTACAATGTTCCTGAGTGCTATATGCTATAAAACATCACGCTACGATCCAATAGGGCCGAATAGCGGGTGAAACCGCGCGAGAGTAGCTAGGATTAGATAAAGTTATTGAAGAGGAAGGTTAATATGTATAATGACATCCATTAAATAATAGAGAAATTTAGTATCAGCATTGCTGCCGTGCAAGCCGGGGCGAGTCGTTGGTATAAAATAAATATCGTTCTGGCTCCAAATCTGTCGTTATCCCCAGTGAACTACAAGTCATCCCCTGTAGCTTATAACTACTCCAAAAAGAGTATTCTATTTTATGTGACCACCTCGGAAGACCCCCTTTAGGACTGATATTTCAATAGTCAGATAAATGTTATCTAAGGAATAAAATTGTTGCTGTCACTGTCTCATACAAACATTCTGACGCGACAGCATCATAATTATTGCCCAGGTAACTTTTACGTTCTGTGACCATTACTCGGAGCCTAAGGGTTTGGACACCCGCTTCTGGTGCACGGGGACGAGTATCGAAACCTTCACATTAACAATGTGACTTTTTCCGAGTTATACGTACTTTCTAACTGTATTACAGACTTATAGTCTTTGATATTTAGACACCACTGAAATACGGTGAAGGAAAACATCGCAAGGAAACCCTTTTTTGGAGGAGGGAAAAATCATCAAATGATTTCTCTCGCCTAGAGTATCTAGAAAGGAATTGTCAGACTCTTACTGATTAAAAACGCCCCTCGTTCCTTCTCCCGCTGTAGGCCGTGGCCGCGGTTCCTTATTGCACTTACCCCCCAACCCCGGCTGAACATCGGCTCTGTTGAGCCCCACCTGTGATCTTGAGAAAACCTGGACGTATAATTTCTCAAACTTTGAAATTGCCAATTCGTTTTGAGCAAAGTCATTAATGCTCAAACCTTCTCCGTGTGAACAGAGGCCTTTGCTCAGCAGTGGGCACTTATAGGTTGATGACCATTACATGGTTCATGGCCACAGACTAGACAGTGTAGCTAAATATACTCTGTAGTAACAAATAGTTGGTGAACCAGCCAAGTTATTTGGTATGGACGTAGGAAAATTACAGGCTGAAAAATATCTGTCTTATATGTATAGACAGACTGGTAATTAGTGTCCGATATTTAAACACGACATTGTATTCATGATACCTAATAACTTTCCTAAAAATACAATTTTAAGTCTGGGAGAGCCATGCTTCGGCACGAATGGGTCGGCTCGACCGGAGTGATACCACGGCCTCACAGAAAACCGGCGTGTAATAACCACTGCGTTGTGTTTCGCCGTGTGAGTGAGGTTATCGGAGGCCCAATCCTTCCCCTTCCCCTATCCCTCCTCAATCCCTCCTCAATCCCTAAATCTCCAAATCCCTAATCCCTAAAAGGTCGGCAACGCACTCGTAACTCCTCCGTTGCGAGTGTCCATGGGCGGCGTTGATTGCTTACCATCAAGTAATCCGTCTGCTCGTTTGCCGACATAAACCATAAAAAAAAGACTGGTAATTAGTGATCGATATTTAAACACGTCATTGTACTCATGATACCAAACAACTTTCCCAAAGAAACTGTTGTTCTATACTCATGAGTTTTATTTTTATTACTACCTACTTGTAACGAAGTTCGCGCGCCCGCCGTGCGTCGCCCGATCAGCTGTTACGCGGTCACGCTTGAGCGACGAACTCGACGCGACGCTACGAACGCGACAAACGCGGTCAACTCAACTGCATAAATTAAATCCTCTCCAATCCTCAAACATACATAACCCTAATCTCTAAAAGGACGGCAACATACTCGTAACTCCTCCATTGTCCACACGAACTGCTGATTGCTTACCATCAGGTAATCAGACTACTCGATTACCGTACTTACTATCAAAGAAACACAATTCCATTAAGAGACCCACTATATTGGAACAATCACAAATATATATTCTAGTCTGTCCACCACGTCGAGAGACGATTTCCGGCCACCCTAAGCGCGGGTCTGCGGACCACGAGTAAGGGACGCTCGCCGCCCGACCAGAACCAGACCCGAGCGTACGGCGCGTAGCGTTCCGCGCGCGCCTCAAAGAGCCAATAGACCACCACAGACGGGGCCCTATAGGGCTGATGTTCAACCGGGGTTGCGGGGTAAGCGCAATGAGGCACCGCGACCTCGGCCCAGAGCAGGAGAAGGAACAGGGGGGTTTTTAGTCAGTAAGAATCTGACACTTCCTGGTGGGAAACGTCATTTGAAAGGTTTCTTCTCACAAAAAAGTCTTATTTTAAG